TCACATTGACACAGACTGTGAGTAGTGTCTATTTAAGACTATGATGCTTGACATCCTTTAAGATGAGAAAAAGAACCCCTTCTGAGGCATTAAACAGGAGGTATACCATGAAAAAGAGTCATCTCAGTAAACGGACAATTGATGTTTAGGGGATAAGGTCAAAGGTCAGTTCTAAAATCTTGATTCTAATACTAAACCCATTTATCATGTGTGGTACTATGCCTCTCATAAGGGAAACAGGGATGGCAGGAATATGTTGTTCCTACAGACTGGAGACGTATCTCAGCTGGCAGAGAGTTGATCCATAAAGTGTGGAGCCTTGAGCTCACTTTCCAGCACCACCTAGACTGAGACAAGTGGTAAGTGTCTGTAATCCCAGCACTAGGGAAGTAGAGAAAGGAGGATGAAATTCGAGGTCATCTTTGGCTACACAGCAAGCCTGAAGAAAGCCTTGGCAAAAGATCTTGCCTCCAGTTATCAACAATAAAATGAAACAGATCATAATGAATGAATGGATAAACGGAAGAATTCTTCATCACAATATTCTGTGGGGTTACCAAGCTTCCCACACCCCTACACTTTCCCTGAAATCAGAATACAATAAAGCGAGAATCCTAATGTGTGTAGGCTATGAAACAGTCTAAATAACAAATGTGACTCCCTAACTGAAAGTGTTTTAAGAGTCATCATGCACACATCTGCAGTGTGGTACTGAAATAGAGACAAGGAGCCCTACTGCCCAATGGCCATTCAAATTCCCTCATGACAGGCAAACTTTCCACTAGTGATCCTATGCTACTTACTTCTACCTTCTGCCTCATGAGCATCCTGTTGTAAAGGGACACTTCTTCTCCAATTCACATTTGACAAGATCACCTTAACCTCCATGTCTCTGTCCTTCATTTGTTTCAGAAAAGATGCCTTAAGTTCCCAGTCGACCATATAATGCTGCCATTTTCTCTGTGTTAAGCTATTTACTAATTTAAAGAACAATTTCTAAGCAAACAGTATCCACTCTTGGTTTTTTAAGACTACACAGATGTAGAAAAGAAACTGATGACAGAGTATAGAACGTGAAGTTTCTAGAAGGTTTTAGAAGTGATGACAATTACTGTGCTAGTTTTGTGCATGTGAACGTGCATGTGGATCTAGACGGAGGGCATGGTGAGCAGAGGACAATTTTACAGAGCTGGGGTCCTCCGCTCACCCTCAAGGGTGTTCCTGACACACAGCCCAGGCCATCAACCTGCACAGAAACCCTTACCTAAGGAGCTATCCTGCTGGTCCAGAACTGCAAGGTTTAAACTAAATTTGAAATTTTAGTAGTCATGTAATATACATGTACATATGCTATTATTAACATCTACAGCGTAGGTGAGCTACAGACACACAAAAATCCTTGAATCGTGTGAAGAAAAAGCTGTTTTAAATATAAAGCCATTATAGCTGCTGTGCCTTGTAACCCATCAGTGGTAAAAATCAGCATTTCTATGAAAAGGAAAGTACCATTTGCCTCTAGGATTAGATAGCCTTTCAATTTGTCAAGTATCAGTAACTTTCTGTAAGATATATTTTTATCCTCCCATCCTTCCATGAATCTGAGAATTGCAAATTTTTCAAAAACATTTTTAGAAGAAAGTAAAATAGCACATTATTCCTACACATGAGGACATGTGTGGTTCTGTACGGTAACTTCTGAACTTGAGTATAATGCTATACAACATTTGAATTATAGAAGAAAAGACGGCTCAGAGGGTTAGAACACTTGCCATGGAACCCACATAACCTGTGCTAGCACAGTCCCCACAAAGCATTAACAAGTTGAGGGAAACCAACTCTACAAAGTTGCTCTCTTTATATCAAAGTTGTTCGATACACACACATACACACACATTCACAAAAACACTCATACACACACATGCACAACCACACATTAAAGATTAGATTTTATGTAATTGTTTAATATGTTTAGATTTTATGTAATTTTTTTAATATGTAACCTATTAAAGATTAGATTAAGTTTACATATTAATAAGGGTGTGCTTATTTATTTTGACATAAAGAATTAAATCCTGGCTGAATATTAGATTTGTCAGGGCTCAGATGTTTTACAGAGTTGATTGCTATTTTGATTTTATAGTAGTTAATCCTAATGAAGCTGCTTCACATAAAAAGAGTATAAAATACCAAAAGTCTACCTAAGTGGCCATTCCAGTCACTGTTAGAAATTCTGTATGTACTAATTAATTCTAAGTTAAAATTCATTTAACATGAGTTGACCACTTGAGTTTCATTATTAACAGACAGGAGCTGCCAGAGATACCACAGATGCATTATGTGTGTGAACTTGAATTACTTTGTAACATTACACACTCTCTCACCATTTCCAAGGATTTTGTGCCTCATGTACCATGTTCGGATATGAATCCCAGTTCACAGTTTGAGAAGCTGAACTCCACATAGCCTAGAGCTAGGCTTTTCTCTTGTCTGGAGCTCAAGGAGCATGGATATCAAGACTACAACTTCAGAATCACTATGTTCAATCTTTCAGGCCCAAGAAAGGGCTCTTACTTGTGCACCCCCCATAAATAATGATATTACTGACATATATTCAGACATTACTCCAACAAGCTCAGAAACACCTAGAAAATATTTCCTCCATAGTCTATGGATTCTGGACTCAACCCCCCACTCCGAATTGTACTTTTTGACTAGGCCCCCAGCTTCAGGGAAAGCGGGTCATACTATATCAACTGTATCAAACCATAGCATCAATTGTAATCATTTTATGCAACATGAGGAAGGTTCTCCTTGGGTTTCAAACAAAGCTTTACAGTGACCCACTCCTCAGACTGAAGCAAACCTGTGGGTGTCTGCTCATCCTATAGGACCTGGGAAAGGACTCATATCCTATAAATCAGAAGCATGGTCCCTTACATACCAGATCAGGGCACATTCCATGTTTACTCTGACATGTAAAGACCATGACTACCAATGTTACCATGTTAGAGTCACCTGTACCTGACATAATGAACAAAAGGAGATTGTCTCTATATACCATGCTGTTGTTACTGAATCAGCTGCTTCCTCATGTTGAAATTAGGGCTTGACTCTGTGGAACATGTAGAAACATGGGTATAAAAGTGTATACCCTTCGTAAAGTCATTCAACTCCCGTCATGAACTGCTTCCTCTTAGACATCACTGCAGACAAAGTTGGTCAAAGATAGTAACTCACACACAATTTGAACACAATCTGAAAAGTGTATTTAAAAATTACATAAAATGATGATCTTAAGTCAATTCGGTGAGGTATAACAGAATGAAAACAATATTATAGAAACAAAAATTCAGACATGAATGAGAGATAAAAAGCATAAAAAAAACTAATAAGGAGTGATAGAAACTAAATCCTAATGGGGAAAAAGTACCCCAGAGAACTTTCAGAAAACTCCAGAACAAACAAAAGAGGTTATATACAATGGGCCTTATGACTTATCTTAGATGAAAGGGAAAATGTCTGAGGGAGAGACAGGACTGCATGATGTAAATATATTTGCATTAGGGGAAGGGCAGAAAGTGAAGACAGGAGGACTTTCATTTTGGGGACAAAATGAAATCAGAACTGAAACCTCAGATTGATGTGGGACATCCTTCTGTGTACATGCTGCTTTTATTGGTTGATGAATAAGCTGTTTTGACCAATAGCTTAGCAGAGTAAAGCCAGGCAGGAAATCAGAACAAAGATATATAGAGAGAGTAGCTATTAAATGATCTTTAAATAATGGATGCAACTCTAATTCTTCACCCACGTGATAGTGACTTGTGCTAAGTTCATATACACATGGCACCACATCCTGACTGGTTCTCAACACAGAGTAAGATGGTTGTCAGCTTACAACACTGAGAGAGAGTCTCTGGACAAAGCAGACACCGCTCAGACGGTGCCCTGGTTTTTTTTGTTGTTGTTGTTGTTTTGTTTTGTTTTGGTTTTTGGTCTTTTTGTTTGTTTGTTTCTTTCTTTTTTGTTTTTGTCCTGCCTGTGAGCTCTAAGTTTATGGCATGTCCTGTCCCTGGAGCAAATTCACACAGGGAACAGTGGTTTCTGAGGAGGAAATGGTGATGAGGTTAGGGTGGAGTACACTTGTCTTTAAAACGGTCATTGTAGCCCAGCCAATGGCGTCAGATTTGAGGAGTGGACAGGAGTCATAGCCTCTGTTTACATGGGGACACTGGAATCACAGAGGGCGCTCTTCCTATTATGCTCACGCACTCTGCCTCTTCACAAGAGAGGTCCATGGGTACCGCGGACCACAAGCACAGAACTTTGGAAGTTGTCAAAGGCAATTACAGTTGATTTTACTACACTGCTGAATCTTCACCTCTAACATTACCTAACACCCAACCAAAACAAAACCCCCAAAATAATGGAGGCAGAAGTCATTTGTCAGAGTACCTGGGTCCAAAGATGAATATAAAGACACCTATCCCTTGAGGAATAAATTACGATCCAGAATCAAAAGAGTTAGCAAAGTGTCTAGAATATCATAGACATTCAACAAAAGTAAGTAAATTTCTTTCTCTCTCCAGTTCTTATCTCAAAACAATTTCTGGTTTATCAAAAAATACTGTATAAATTTTAAACTGTACATAAAACTAAAATTACTAAATCCTTAATAAGCTAAATATAAATATGATTTTACATTTCAAAACTAAGCAGTTTCATGTGCCTCTCACTACTCACAATAATAAAACAGGAGTCATGCGTAGGCCGACACTGTCGTGGTTATAGAATAGTTGGGGGAGTTACTAAGGCAATGTGCAATACTGTTCTTAGCATCACGTATGTGACTTTTCTGACACCAACAGATTCTGAACCAGAATCTTAGCAACATAATGAAAATTACTTAAGTAAGACTGAAGATATTTTATTAATATTACATAGATCACAACCCTAGTATTGTAAATGATGAACATGTCAACATAATTAATTATACTTACTTGTTTCCAGTTTGCAACCTTCCCTTTTGTATTAGATTCAGGCTTGAAAAGGAAGATTTCCTCCAAGGATTTGTCTTCATGTCTTCTACCTTTGCAGATCCATTTTGTTTGAAGTGACCTAATAAGTTTCCCCGGAGGCCTTTTACGTGTAAAATATGGTCTGAATATAAGGGAGGAGAAAAAAACTATTAAATTTTTCTTATTGAAAAAGTGAAACTACTTATGATCTAACTGTATCTTAGCACGCATGATGACGAGTCCAGTGAATTATTTGTCTTTACTTTATTGCTATTCATGAACCAAGGGTATGCCACCTACATTCATATATTCATTATATGATCAGTAAGCTGCAAAATGGATGCACGGCACACCTAGAAATTGTCCAGTCCTTATATCCTACTCTGTGCCTTAAGTGATAACAGGCTGGCAGGATGGGGTTGGCACTGGGAAGCAAAGGATGAGTGGTAGGTCTTGTTTCCACTCCAGGGAAGTGACTTGCACTGCAGCATGGGAGTGGCTGGGCCTAAAGTTTCTATCCGTCCTAATTGTGAATATAGAGGAAGTACACAGAGCAGTGATATCCTCAAAACATGAGGCAAAAAAGAATTGGGACATGTCCGCTAGCCACACTCATAGGCAAAAGTAGAGGGAAATCGCACTTACTTTTTAACCCTATTATGTATTTAGCGAAGTATCTTCTCACAAGTGCTGTCTATAAACTAGCATCACATTTAAGGATACTGGATACTTTCTCCTCTAAGAGCAGAAGTCATGGCCGATGTGTCCTCTCTCATCTAACCTTTTCAACACTGTGCTAGAATTCCCATTTGATCCTTTACAATCAGAAGGAAAAGCCAGGCCAGCCCTGCCTTTGATTACAGAGCAAAGTGGTCAGTATTAGTGAACAGTGCCCAGCAACGCCAGCAAAGAGTGGGAAGACACTGATGTCCTCACAACTCTCATCACGGCAACACATGACTGGAGGGAAAGTCTGGTACTGTGAATGGACAGGTGGAGGGATTAGACCAAGGGCAGCAAGTATCATCTACTAACAGCCTCTGAAAGCAAATCCAAGTGAACTAAGCCAATCTCATGCACACACCCATCCTGTGCGACAGGAAAAGATCATTTGTTAAAATGATAAGCCAAGCAGAAAATGGATCCTTAGCAATATCAGAAATAAAGCAATCCAAACAAGGCGGCATTCCCACATCACTAACAAGCTCTATCCATCCCTCCATCCTCAATGTTCTTATCCATGAATCCATTAGTATATGGCGTAGTAGGACAGTAAACCTCTCCCGTTCACAGCTGTAGTGCACCTCTCAGGAGTGGCAGCTCGGCTTTCCAAAGGGAAAGGTGTACATGAAAGCAAGCAGAACACAGTAACCACGTGAGTAGGCTAAGCAGATGGATGCACCCTTAGGCTTCACTTCCAAGGGCAACCAGTAATGCAGCTAGATGAACATGTTTATCCACAAGAGAAATTTTGATGTAATCTCTCACGATCAGTCAGCTGTCAAATGTAAATGAAAGCATGGATTTTCATAGGAAAGGTATTGTTTTGCATATGCCCCAATAAACTATGCAGAAACAAACCATTAATTATGTTACCATGGCTCAGCACCTGAGAAATGGAAGAATGCGTTCTGTCTGAGGAAGTGTCAGGCCAATAGACTAGGCCTATGGCTGGTGCAGCAATGCCACACTTGAGCTGATCCAAGAAATAAAGCAAGCCACTGAGTTTGAAAATAATCCTAGAGCTCTGAGAAGAAGTCACGCTGACTTCTGGAATGCAAATACGAAGTACTGTGAGAGAGTATCCTTCAAAAGGGTTGCTGAGGTCATGGTGTCTCTTCACATCAAAAGAAACCCTAACCAAGACACCTAACAACCCCTGTGTAGCCATGGTATGGGCTGCTCAGATATCCTTGTGGAGCTCACTGAGAAATGCACAGCTGGCCGGCATCCCAACTTGTGTTCCCTTGGAACTTCCTTGCTCCCCAAGACTTTTCCTAGCCATTGGCCAAGCACATGGAAGGCAATGTTGACAGCCTACTTCTGCCTGATGCAGGATACCTGCATTGTACAACCTTGTGCAAGGATCCTCAGAGGACCTGGTCAAACGTTCTTCAGTTAGATTGCTGCCTGAGACTCTTCCTATGCTATCCTGTTTTCTCTGTCCTTTTATACGTATCAGGTTCATAACTTACTGCCGCTTTGTGTGTGAAATGCATTTCTCTAGGACTTTTTTTGGAAAGCTTATCTCATGTGTCTGCTTTTCAAAGAAAAACCATAAAATGGGTGCATTATAAGTGTTAATTTTCACTTCTTTATTCTGATTTCTAAATACTTACATATGTAAATACCATTAACTTTTGGATCATGGCTGTTATTGTAACATCAAGAATAAATATATTTCCACATGTCTACTTCTTCAGGAACTTTTATTCTTCTCACTGAGGTTCACTAATTTAGAAGACCATACTAAAAAACAGGGATCATGGTTGTGACCCCAATGCACTGAGGCTCTCAAGGAAATGAGTTCATATTTCACTTCTAAGTGATAATAAATCCATTAGATGTCTAATATCTAAATGGAGACATCATTTCTGTTATTGAATATACTTTGTGTTGTTTTGTTTTGTATTGGTTTTTGGTTTGGGGTGGGGATTTTGTTTTTGTTTTTGAGAGATATAATAGAGGTTGCCTTCAAACTACTGTGTATCCAGGGATGGCCCTAAACTCCTAATTTTCCAGTCCCCACCACTCACCTGTCTGGACTACAAGCAAGCTCCACTATCTATGGCTTTTATGTGGTGCTGGTGATCAAACCTAGGGCTTTAGGTATACCATACAAGCAGTCTACCAAATGAACTTTACCCAGGACAATAAACCAACTTTTATTTCTAGTTCACTTAACTTTATTTTAACCTCAAAAGGGCTAAATTAGATAAGATGGTTTTTCTGAGACACTGAGAAGGTTTTCCTGTACTCGCTAGTGCATTGGTGAGACCTGTATATCAAGCTGGGCTGGAGGTTTAGCACAAACTCAAAGGAATACTCATTTCTGATCTCATTCAGACCTCCAATAGGCAGGGTGCAGACATTTGTCTAGGACTGACTTCTCTGTATTCTGACTGACTTCTGTCAGGAATCAAACACCCAGCTAATGATGACCACTCTCTGGTCCTTTGCAGGGACTCTTCCTTCCTCATGACTGACAGCCACCAGAGGATCAAATTGTTCTGGTGCTTCTGATTCCCTGATGTGTCCTCTGTACCTAGGGAAATTCCTTTTCAGGTCCTCATGTGACTGACTGGGTTGGAATCACTCAGATACAATACTTGAAGGTAATTGTGAGAGTGATAAGAAGGAGCAAAACCAAATGAGTCACCTGCAAAGTCTTTTTGCCCTGTGTGAAATGAGAAAAATAAGAAGGAACTGTTGCACCATGGACCCAAAAGGTTCAGTTTGCATAGGGTTCAGCTGGCAAAGCAATGGGCAGATGAAAACTGGTCTGTCTCTCCTTCATTGTTATTTCTGTTAAGCTACCTTGCATTCCTGGGATAAACTTATGTTGCTTATTTAAAGGTATTAGATTTTTATGTACCACTGAATCTCATGCTAAAGTATTTCCAGATTTTCACATTATGCATTCCAGGACTGACTGACCTACATTTTTCATTACTGTAGAATTCTTATTCAGTTGTGTGGTCATTCAAAGTCAAGATGTATGTCTTTGCTTTCTAAGAGCTTTGAGAAACAGACAGAGTAATTACAAAGACTGCAGTTACAATGTGACCATTTTGTTGTATCTGGTCTCTGCTGCTCTGATATCATCATTATATTGCTATCTTTATTTCTTCTTTCTCTTTTCTTTATTGCTCTTGTTGGAGAATTATCTATTTATTGATTTCCAAAAGAACAAATTGTAGACTTACTGATTTTACATACATTTTCTTATTGTCCACTGTATATTCATGTTCTATTTCTTCAGCTTCCTATATGTTCATTACCTTCATCTACACTCATATTGAATACAGTTTGTTTTTCCTCTTAATGTGACAGATGCTTAATCTTTAATATGTCTGTTTTTCTCCTTTCAGAAATATAATCAAATGTGCCACACAATACATATGATTCTTTGTTTCTTTCCATGCACTGTGTAACACTGATGGATAGTGCCCAATTTCCTTTCTCCCTTTCAGCTTTAGGAACAAAAACCAAGTTTCATATCTAAGAGAAAACGACAGTGGACACAAGCGTGTGTCACCCTGCTGCCAGTGTACTAATATGATGCTTCCCTCAGAGGCTGAGTGACATCCTCATGTCATGCTATGCACAAGTGTGATGTGTCAGAAGTTCAAAGGGCACCATATTATTTTTCTCACCTCACACAGGAAAGGAAGATGTTCTAGTTGTCTCATGAGACATTTCCTTCCTGCTATCTCTCTCATGATCACACTATATTGCTGAATATACGATGTTTTGCAAATGTAATTATGACTGCAACAGCAGGTCACATGAAGACATGGAAAGAAGGGCTTCTTTAGGTATTGATAAGACACATCAGAGAATGTGAGGCACAAGAACAATGTAATCCTCCACTGGCTGTCGTTCATGGGAAAGAACTACAATGGTGGAGAAAATGACAGCCACTGAGGACCACAGGAGACTGACAATGGAACTCAAGGTAGAAATGGGAAGTGAAAGGAAGGAATCGGGGGTCAGCAATATTGTTTGAAGTCACAGATATCAGCTTCTTTGACTATAAACTTTAATAGAAAAAAATAAACAAAACTTAAAACTCTGATCAGCCACATTTGTGGTAATCTGTGTTATATGCAAATGAGTCAAACAAATAAATGATATACAAACGCATTGCTTCGTCTTTGAAAATGTAGTATTAAGTTAGATAAAACTTTCAAAAAATTATAATGTAATAGTCATAGGGCTTCCTGTTTTACTCCCACTATAAATACAATATATTATTATCTTACTACTTTATTATATTGCATAAGTTCTTCCATCATATTCACTTGAATACAGAGCAAATATCTTTAAATAAAACTCCAACCTCAGCTAAAATCTAATTAATTAAAAACCTAGCATTCAAAAGACTCTTGCCATATGCCCCTGTCTATCAAAAGAACTTGCAATGACACAGTGTAGACTATAGTAGCAAATAGTCTTTTCTAAATAAGATGACCTTTACTTTTATGAAACTATACCTGATGCTTTTACCTATTTTATACACAAGAAATATGCAACCACCTGAAATCAGCTATTGGAATTAACCTACAAACTCTGGCTATGCTTGAATAACAGTTTCCTTAACTGTTACTCTCAAAACTACAGGATATGTTAAGTATAAAATGTTATTTTCTGAAAACATAAAGTATGAATGACGGTGATTTAAAAAATGAAAAGAAAAACCCTGACACCTGTAAGACTCTGGAGTTCAGAAGGGAGGAAGCAGACGGAAGAACTAAGACAGGAGATGGAGAGGAGACAGAAACACATCCCCAAGAGCCTGGAGAGGTGACTTAAGAACCCCAATCTACCCACAGCATGTTCAATGCAAGAGATGAAGGACAGGGAATAGGATTTGGAATGGTTTTTGATTATGAAGTCCTGATGTTAACCACAGTTCAAGTCTAGGTCAAAACCCAAATGTCATGGAAGTACCTGGGGAAAGACTTAAAATTAAGAAGGGAAACATCAAATTGGAAGCAGGTACACAGAAGAAAGGAGATGGTGGGACCCCAGCCACAGGTCCCTGATGTTTTAGATATGTTTTAGACACCCCAACACCACAGAGGGGAAGCTTCAGGACAAGAAACACAAAGGAATCTCTTACAGCTCAGGAAATCATCCACTCTTATCCAGACGTGTACATAGTAGAGGACAGCAGAAAACAGAGAATAACAGGATCACCACTGACAATGAGAGTAAGATCAACAGATAAAAACATAATTTAGAAAGGGAAAAAATCTATTACCATGAAATGAACTACACAAAATAGCATGAAATTGCTCAGGACTCAGAAAGCAAACTAGCTAGAATCAGGCGACTTTGGAAATGAGGGTAGAGTGCGGAGAGAGATCAGCACTTCAAAATCCATTCAACCTAAATGAGAAGGGGCATGATTATCAGGAAACACGAGGGAAAGTTCTCTAATAAAAACAAATTAAAATAAAAAATTCATAAATCTAAGGAGACAGAACCACTAAGTAAGGTTCTGTAATATGATTGTGACAAATGAAACAAGCGTGCTGTGTCGTTCTTCAGTCTAAACACAAATGTGCAGCGCGTCCGCACTCACTGAGAGCACTGCTGGTAGCACAGCAGTGTCCACTGACAACTCTCAAAGGGCTTCATTCCTACTGCAGGAGTAAACTAGTGTATGAAATTTCTGACAAGCTGATAATCAAGTTCTCCTGGAGGAAGAGGTGAGCAGTCCTCAGTGAAGGCAGAGAAGAACCTTGTATGGTGGATTATCACATGAAGTCATTCTGGAAAGCAGGATCCATTTTACACTGAGTCTCTGGACATGGCTTAGGAACCAGGATGACCCATGTCACACAACACATCCAGCTCCTACATCTTACTCTTTAAATGTCACTCCTGTCTGAGAGAACTGGAGGTCTCTGGTGATATTCAGTGACAGGAGTGAGAAAAAAACCCAGAAAGTCAAGGTGCACAGGACCCAGCACACATGAAACAGAGCCACAAGCTACAGATTCGATACAGCCCTTTTCTTCATAAGCACCCAACAGTGAGCCGCACAGCAGCTCGCTGATGTGCAGTACAGATGCCAATACAGACAGCATTACAAAGATCTGGTTACAAACTAGACACATGAAGTGGATGGACCCGCTTCTAACATGAGCTGCACATTGCTTAACATCCATGTCCTAGAATATCCTCCATCTTCCCTATGACCTCAGTGTAGATCCCAGTCAGGTACAGGCCTCTGCCTATTTTCTAAGATGCTTCACCCCACCATCTGTATACCAGAAAACATTCCACTCTAACCTATAGGACTGGTAATAATTCTAGGTTTAGTCTACATTTGGGGCTGAAGGAAAGTGGATGGTATTTAAAAGAAAACCTTTAGGGAAAGTTTGAAATGTCTTACTGTCAGGAGGCCTTTCTCAAGACTATACCCTGGGGTGGGTAGGGACTGACTCAAGGCTGTGGTAATGCCTCTCTTTGGAGCCACTCATTTTTGCTGTTTCCTAGTCTGTGCACTCACTCTCTCATAGACTGGACGAGAAACAGATGATCCAGATCTCATGGGATATTCATTTATTATGTTCATCAATTTCACAACTATTTGTGAGCACTCAATGGTTCAAGCCCTGTTTTGTTCTAGAGACACAAAACAGAACATAGATACTGAGTCTGCCTCAGGGAACTGAGAGATCAAGATGCAGACAGCTGCAGTGTAACACACATGGTGAGAGCTTGTGATGTAGACATTGTCCCTAGGTAACTTTGGAGGCACTGGAGGATTGAAATTGGAGAATAAACTGACTGAACTCCACTCTGAAGAGGTTTTGTCCTGTGTGCTGAGGAAACACAAAGGACAGAGGGGGGCATCCCAGGCACATTTTCCGCAGAGGTAGATAGTGCAGACGGCCCAGAAAACAATGACAGAGGTGTGAATACAGCAGTGCCTAGTGATTAAGTCGTGGCACGTCTGCTGGGTGCCGGTATGTTATGTTCATTCTCTCAATTCCTACGAGCAAGTGCATACGCACTGCCATTAGCCCCTGCTCTTTACCGTTTACAGATGGAGAAATACTGGCTTAGAGCAGTTACACAATGTGCCTAATGGAAGAGAGCTTCAAGAAAGAGCTCTCACATCAGTCTGGCCAGGACACAGAGAGTCTGTCTATAACTCACACCCTCTCCACAGCACTCAGACTCCGTTTACACGTGCTGGGATTGTGGGTAATGTCCAGTCAACAGGGATTTTATCTCAGGTTATAGCAGTATCCGAGCAGGCCTTGATTCTGAGACAGAAAACACAGTCCTGGGTGCATTAACAAAAGATTCTAATAAAACCTGAAATCTTCTTATACTTTTAAGAAATATAAACATATTTTATCTTATTTACATATCTATATATACCATTATTATATAAATATATATACATATATTGTGTGTACGACTTCTATTACCACAATGTAGAACTATATAGAAGAGAATGCCACCATTTTATCATATATAAATATATATGATAATGTATACACATACATACATACATATATATATATAAAACTATGACTATGATTCTAATAAGAGAAAATTTCAACATAGGTTCTTGGCTGACATCTTTAAATCTTAATAAAAGTATCATAGTATTCAAAAATTGCAAAATTTGTACTTACAAATTACTTTATAGTCAATAAAAATACAAATAAAGGCATCAAATTCAGATTATGTATCATAATATGACATTTTTCTTACTGACATTTATACGGGTCAAGTATAGTGTAAATATTATTTTGAGAAAAGAAAATACAAAAGTGCAAATTATTCTAGAATTTGCTTCTTTGACTTGATATTTCTATCTCATTTCAACAATCAGATGATTAAGAAAAGAAAACATACCTCAAGTGTTTTCTAACTATGAAACCACGTATCCATCTTTGAACAATCAACACTGGTGAATTATGAGCCAGAATCTCATTAATCCTTGAGATAACATGTTTGATAGTATTAATTTCATCCTCATAGGTTGTACCCTGTATGAAGAAATTTTATTTAGCAATTTTATTTTTCATTAAAGCATTTAATTTCATTAAAGTATTTTCACTAAAGCATTTACCAAAAATATCTAAGTAAATTAATAAAAATTTAAGCAAAGTCTTGTCAGCATACTAGTTGAATAGTAAATATACTTTGTATTAATTAAAATATAATCATTAGTATTTTCAAATAATTTCAACTTTCTGCACACTATGCAAGATTTCTGATAGCGTCCTCTATCCCAGACTGTTCTCCCAATATGGAGACATACGTGAAATCGTCACAGTAGAAAATCCTCCTCTTTGGAAAGCAGTGATGTGAAAAAGTGCCTCCTTAACTGTGAAGATGGCCTTTGATGTTCACCATCGTAAAACTCCTGAACATGACACAACTTCTCAGGGCTGTGCAGTTTAGGAGCACTGTTGAATATCCTTTGTTGTAATAAGGTTGTTTGTTTTATACATATTTTTCTTTTATTTTTGTTGTTTATTTTATTTTATATTTTACCATGAGGCTCGTGGCCTACTGGCAAGGTTACAGCATATCTGTCTCTGGTGGTGGCTCCATGGCTTCTCCTTGACTCCACCTTCCTTCTCCCAGCATTCAGTTTAATTTTCCTGCCTAACTAAGTTCAACCTTGCTATAGGTCCAAAGTAGTTTCTTTATTAATCAATGGTATTCACATCATACTGAATGGAATCTCACATCACCTTCCCTTTGCTGTTTAAATAAGAAGGAAGGCTTTTAACTTTAACATAGTAAAATTACTTATAACAAAACAGGTATCAAGCAAGAATGATAGTTACAATATTTATATCTACTTTATTTTTTACCATAACTAGAGAAACTATAAATTCTTCAACTCCATCAAAGACTCCAGAAGGATATAATATTACCTAAGTAAACAAGAAGTGCATTGTAACTTCCAAAACTCTAGAATTGACAGAGACATTTTGCTGCCTGGACAGTCACCCAAAGTTCTTCTGTACCATTGGGGCATCCATCTTCAGCCTACAGGTCCATAGTATCCATGGAAAAACAGACTTTTCCATGTAGCAGGAAATTTCAAATATAGTTCTGCTTATATTGGCAGTTTGTCAGTCACTTTCTTTTGTGTCCTGCAGAATGTCTGGCAGACACTTTCATGAAGCAGAAACCCTGAAAAACAATCTCACCTTTAGGCAAGTTCTGCAGTCATTTTTCTGTGGGTCCTGAATGTCCAGTTCATACAGCATAGCATAAAGCAGTCCAGGCAAGAGCAGTTGCTTGCCCAAATGGCTAACCAACTCCATAAGGAGCCTCGTCGATGAGTATCTTTCTCTTGAAGTAGATTGGTCCTGCCAGGAGCAGATGTGCCTCACTGTCATGATAAGTCCTAAATTCTTAAAACATTTTAAATGCCATATTCTGTAGTCTTTGAAAGGTTTAAAGAATACCTATCTATCTGAAATACATCTCTGTATACCTAGAAAATTTAACATAACTAAAAGCTTGACTATTATAGATGATTATCTATTAACCTATATTTCCCAATTATACATTACATTTTCAAATGAGCTGCACAAACCCAATACCTTAAGCAAGAGCAAAAATATACATATACACAGTATAACAAAACTGACCTTAAATTTGTATCAATTACCAAAATCTATACCAATGCAAGTCTCTATTGTAGAAGGCCGCAACCACACTCTCCACCATAGATGGCGCTGCACCACCAGGTGAGCTAGAAAGCTCACACGTGTTGGTATTTTTCCACTACTCCCAAGGTATCACCTGGGACTGGGAGCAGTTGACCAATCCAAGAATGACACGTCCGAAGCAGGGTCTGTTTCCTTTATAAGGGATGGGTTCCATCTTATCTGGGTCTCCGCCATGTGGCTTATGCTCTAGCTCCCAAGAGACATAAAGCTTTTCTGCAGAAGGATCCTATGTGTACCGTGTGGTTCTTGCTGGCGAGACGGTAGCGCGGGGCATCTGGTGCCGATACCCGGGAGGAAGAAGAAGAAGAAGAACTTTGCACCGCCGGAGACCCCTTGGACACAAGGAGGATTCAGAACTGCAGGCATGCAAGCTTAGAGAGGTACGCTCTAAAGTCCAGAGAGCATATCAGAAACTGAGCAGCAGTGGGAGGTTGTGCGCGCACCCAGATAAGTTAAAAAATGACCCTCCGGTAAAGAATGGGGGAGTCAGAAAAGAAAATAAGTTAAAAAGGAACCCCCCAGTGATTCTAGAAAGTAAAAATGGGGGAGAAGGCTGATTTACAAGGTCAAAAGCTTTATGTTATGTTGTTCATGTTGTCTTTTGTGTACTGGATAGGAGAAAGATATTTAAACTTAGAAACTGCTAAGGATATGATGTTTTGGGAAAGAGGTTCTGTTTTCGTCTCCACAGAAAATGAGAGCCTAAAGGTGTACTTGGGATTTATGTGGTTTGAATCACCGAGACCTCCTGAAATGTTGTAGTGTTTACCCCTAAAATGCAGCGGCCCAATAACAGCAGGAAGCAGCCAAAGAGACTAACGACGCCCAAATTCCCTAAAAGTTTAAATGAGGTCCTTTCAAGCCTGCTTCTCTGAGTTCAGCTTTGCTCCATGCACCGGTTTGGGCTCGGAATGGGTGCAGCTGGGGCTGGAGGGCGGCTGGAGCGGAGCTTTGCTCTGTGGCTATGGTGGGGAGCACGTTGCGCTGGCTCAATTGGTGCGGCTTGGTTGGTGCCTGGCCTGGAGGATGTCACAGCGGTGCCACAGGCAGCCGGGCCAAAAGGCTTACAATGTACCTAAAACTGTGCTGGTCTCTGAGGGTAAAATGGCTTTGATTCCATTTGGCTACGCTAAACGATGCTGACTTCAGGCAGGGCTGGTCGTATTTATCATAATAAAAGCGCAATTAAGGTTTAGACGCAGTAAACAGGCAGTACCGTATTACATCTACATAGTGCGACTTAAGTTTTTAAGAACTGCTTAGCATTTTAAGAACTCAAGTCCTCCTAAAAGATTGCTGTGTGTACGCTTGGCTTGTCTGGTGTTTCAGGATCCGCAGGGAGGTGGATGCGAAGGGCCCTTGGATTTTGGGGTGATTGGGTCGTTGGCTGGATCTGTGAGAGTTTACAGCCGCTTTTGCTGTGGCACAGGTGTTGAGAGTTTGCTAGTAGGGAAGCGGCCCTGTTCGCCGCCTCTCCCATCGGCCCCTTGAGCCGCAGCGGCTCTGGCGCGGACCTGCCTGTGCCGCCTCGGTCTGAGTGTAGGCTCCCGCCACACTCCGCCACCAACACAGCCTCAGAGAACTAGGCTAGCCCCGCGGGGAAGGCTGGGGCGCCTGGGGGTGGAGCCACCACTTCCTGGCCCGGGACAGGCGGAGCCGCACAGCAAACAGGCCCAGGGCCTCGGAGAATGGAGGGGTGGGCTCTGGAACCCAAGGCCACCGCACCGGCAAGGAATACGGGAGCCAATAAATCTTAAATCTAATATCAACAAACAGAGACCTGTAGATCTCTAAGTTCAAGACCAGCCTACTTCCAGTACTGACTGTGCTAAATTTTTACACTGAGTTTTTTAATACTCTTAAATGTTATTTTGGGAGAAGAGTTTGTTTATGTTTTTTTTCTAGGAATGCTACTACTCATGCTGTAGATTCATCTCTCCAGAGGCCTGAGGACAAAGCCTCTGCTATGGAGCTGTCTGGCCTGATTGCTGCGGAGCTGGCAGGTTCCTGAGGTATGTTCCAGCTCCTGCCCTTGGTCTGTCAGTTATTACTGTGCTGTTGTTGCTGTACATTGCAATGTTGTTGTTGCTGTGCCATTGCTATGCTGCTGGATTTCCCCTTGTTTTGTCAGTTATTGCTTGCTATCAGTTTCCCTTATCCTGTCAGTTATTTCTGCTAAACACTATGGGTATCTTCAAGACAGGTTACAAAATGCCATGGTTATTCAAATTAAGAATTGGATACTACAGACTTCTTGATGCAGCTGGAGAGTTGTGCCCCTGCGATCCCAGATTATTAAGCAATTGTCTAGTTATCTTCTAGGTAATTGGACTGGAGGACTTACCAGTTCTTGTTAAAATTGAAAAATGGGGGAATAATAAAGGAACTGCCCCCGATGCTCTGTTCATTATACATTTTTTAAATGGCAACACAGCCTATACCATGAAAAACAGAGACCCTCAATCAGTTATCTACCACAGTGGCTACAGCCCTGGATCAACAGGCTACCATAGATACATCTATTAGAGGTAGAATAAAGAACAGGTGGATAGCTTATGGCAGCTTGCCCAATTGGGCTGTGAATGGAAAACTCCAGCCTTATGTGTGACCAGTGTACCATATGAGAACTTTATAAAAGTGGCTAACTTGTCCCGAGAATTGTCTTTGTATCTTGCAGGAGAATTTTGATGATTTGCTGTCCTCCTTGAGACGGTCCATCGTGACAATCAACTCCACGCGAGTGGACATAAGCCTGGCCAAAGAATTCCAGTCCTGGATTGTGTCCTTCATCCCCTACTTCAAAGAATGGGTGGGGGTGGAAATGTTTTGGAACAGTCCTATGCTATGGAATAGTGTTTCTCCTCTGGATGGTCTGCTGACTCAAATCCCAAAGTCTTAGGGACAAAGTGGTTTTTGCACAGCGCTGGCTGCCCTGGAACAGGGGCCTCTACTGATGTGTGGTTATTTATGTTAAAGCAGTAAGGTTTAAGCCAACCAGCTCCTGCACCCCTAGGACTGTGGTCCATTGCACAGGGTGGAGTGCTTGGCTTAGCTAGCCCTGAAGGTTGTCGAGCTGAAGAGCATCGCACAGAGAATGGCCCTCTCTGAGAGATAAGTCGCTCTGCTTAAGGGTTTCCTGCCGTATATTCCCTTTCCCAGAAAATTGGCAGAGGGCAGGCCGGATAGGTTCCAGGTGTCATGAACCTAGGGACAGATTCCGTGTAAGCCCATTTTAATGTTTTCATTTTGGGAAGTGCGACCTCTATCTTTACCTTTTGAGGGAGTTGCCTTTC